CAATACCTTCTTATTGGGACCTTTCAGGATTTGTTTGGGGCTCCCTAGGGAACATCCTTAAAAAAAGTCTTTGTACATCCTGTCACGAATGACGGTGACATTATCACCGGTGTCGACTTTGAACGCTCCGGGAATGTCTTGGATGTCGACCGTGACTTTCCATCGCAGTCCATCTAACGACGCCACGGAGCCAAGAAATGCTGTTTCCGACGTTGTAACTTCCCTGAGGGCACCAGAACTCCTGCAAATTCGTGAGTAGAGCCCTAGTTTTCTGCATTTGTTACATGTTGTTTTTCGTGCGTCTTTTTGGTGGTGTGTGTAACCGCACTTCGGGCAGATTTTGTCTTGAGCTGGTAAACTCATGACAAAACCGACCGAGATAGAGTCACTGCTTTGTTTCATGTCTTCCCCTTTCGTTGACTTGCCTCCTCCTTGAAAACTCTGTCAATGTTTTTACTCGGGGAATTGTGGAGAGTAACTTGCTGTTTCTTGACAGGTTCGGACTGTCGAGCCAGGTTGGTAGCCTTCTCGAGTGGCAGTCCTGCATCCAGTTGCAATTTCTTCGACAGCTGATGGTTGAGGATTCCAACGCCAATTCGGTCTCGAATCATCTCCTCGTGCAGAGCTCCGAAGTCGCAAGTCTTGGCGAGGCTGTGAAAATCTGTTATATATTCTTCCACGCCTTCGTCTTCTCGCTGATGTCTTTTGTGAAATTTCGCTCTCTCAAAGATCACGTTTCTGCAGAGGACGAAGTCTCTCTCAAAGGCCGAAAGCACTTCCGCATACTCCGCCACTTTGGCTTCCGATAAGTTCAGTGAGAGGAGAATGTCGTCTGCTTTGTCGCCCATGAAGCATATTAGAGCGTTGAACTGCTCTGGCTCAGGTTTTGTGGCAAGGCCACTGATGAACCGAAAGCGTTCGAACTGGCGCTGCCAATGGGCCAGTCATCGGGGTTTGAGAAATTCAATTCCGCAGGCGGTTGGCAGAGAAATGAGCTGGTGGCTGCAATCGACGACGAAGCCATCGCTCACCGTTCCTGGTCGATCCTGGGTCCTTGTATTTCTGACAGCATGTGTCGCTGGTCCTTAATAAAACAGAGTACTCCCGGTTCCCTCTTATTTTAACGCCATCTATTTATTCTCTCTTTTCATCCTCGTCTTCTACCCAAGGCCATAACAGCACAGTTCTTGTCCCCATTCAAAGTTCACGGCGACTTTCGTGTGAGGTGTGTGAGCGGCGCAGAAAACGTGGCGAAATCCCGAACGAGCAGCCGGTAGTACCCGCAAATTCCCAGGAATCTTTGGACGGCCTTCTCGGTGGGCGCAGTAGATGCCGCTACGACGCGAGTCCTCTCAGGGTTAGGACGAATACCTTCGTTGGTCACAACGTGACCTAGGAACGTCTGTTCGCCGTTGGCGAACCGGCATCTCCTCGGCTTGAGGGTGAGTCCGGGGGTCCTGATTGCTTGAAGAACGGCCCGAAGGCGTCGCAACTGCTCGTCGAATTTGGCCGAGATTACCACGATGTCTTCGAGGAAAACAGAGACAGCTCTGCTATTTTAGGCCTGCCAGTATGGTGTCCATGACACGCTTGAACGTTGCCGGCGACGTGCACTGTCCGAAGGGCATTACCCAAACCTCGTACAGCCCATCCGGCGTGACGAAGGTAGCCTTCTGTCGATCCCGTTCATCGACTTCGATCGGCCAATAGCCACTCAATCAGGTCCACCGGCAAGAAGTATCGGAAGTGGCGCAGCCGGTCCAATGTGTCGTCAGTGCGGGGGAGCGGATACACGTATATCTTCTTCACCGAGTTCAGCCGCCGGTAATCTACGCGAAATCGAAGCTTTCCGTCCTTCTTTTTCACCATTACGACTGAAGAGGCCCACGGGCTGCTTGACAGCCGGATGATGTTGTCGTTGAGCCTTTTCTAAACTTGTTGTTAAATGACCTCCCTTTCCTTTGGGGAGAGCCGGTACGGCCGCCGATGCACACCGATCGAATCCTCGTTGGTAACAATGAGATGTTTCGCAACTGTTGTCTGCCGCACATTCGTCGTCGTGTTAAAGCTGTCGCTGAATTCGGTGAAAAGGTCTTTGAGCTTTCGTCGTTCCTTGGCACGTAGCTTGGCATTAACATCCAGCTGCCGCGGCGGGGTATTCTACGGCTGAGATGGCGAAGGCTTACCGGAGATGGCGGTGATTTTGGCGGCGTTCCGGAGCACCTCGACATGTCTTACAGCGGTACCTCTTGTAAGGTGCTGGGCCTCTTATCGAAAGTTCGTCAGGAGGGCCACAGTGCGTTCATCCTGCAGTTGTACGTTGCCTTTCAGAAGAACTCCCAACGGGCGATTGAAACGGTCACGACGGGCACAAGAACACTTGATCGTGGCGGCAGGTTCACGTGGTCCGCAATGACTCGGACGGCTCCTGCCGTTGTTTTAGATACCTTCGGAACTAGGACGAACTTTCGAAGCGTAAACCTGTTCGCTCCAAGGTCGATCACGGCACCGTATACGCGCAGGAAGTTCATGACCAGGATGACGTCTCTCGCCCAGTCCTGAAGGACGACAAACTTAACTGGACAGGTCTCACCGTGAATTTTGATTCGAGCAGTGCACGTCCCAACAGGTGTCAATGTCCCGAGGTTGGTCTTTGCAACTTTGGTGGAGGGAGTTCGGTGCGAACCCACGAATCGCGTGCTGCCGGTAGGGGCATCGCCGGTACACATGGCTGGCTTCCCAGCAGTAATGACACCGCGGTCGGAGATCGGCCGTCCTCCAGACGTCCGTCTTCCTTGGCGAAGGTTCCTCTGGGCCCACCTACTGGACCCGTTCTTCGGGACGTCGGGAGTACCGTGGCGCTGAATGCTCATTACGTGGAGGTGCCACATACGGGCGGGCGGGCGGCGGTGATCGCCGGGTCAATACGGCGTAGAACAGCGTCTTTTCCTCAGGGGTTGGCACGTCGACCTCTGCAGTTTCAGCCTGCAAGGCCCTCTGGACCTTGTCGCGTATGATCTCGGCGATTGAAAGTGACACCGGAAGCTTAGCAGACGGAGCAGCTTTCGGAGCTCCTCTCGGACAACGACCCAGACGATCTCGCGTATGTTCGACGTGGTGGAGCCCAGGTAGCAGCTTGACGACGAGGATGCAGCGACGCCGGGTAGTGGCTGGTAGTGGTAGTGGGGGCTCAAACCTGGGAACACGTTCGATATTCGTGGTCTACGTCACTAATTTTTCGACGGTCGCCTGTGTGTTGGGTATAAGACCTCAAAATATATTCTCCTTTACGCCGCGTATGAGAACCCTCAGACTCTTTTCCTTGATCATTGGCGCGGCGACTTGCTCGGGTGTTGGTAGTATCCACGGACGGTCTTTTTGAGTCAGGGGCTGGTCTTGCGCTGCGAAGCCTTGGAGGCGTATGCTTTATGGGCTGCGGTACCCCACACCTTCACCAGAAATTTCACGGATGAAAAAGAGCGCGGAAAACGTAAACTGAAAATAATGGTTTCATCGGCGAACTTGTGCCAAACAAAATAAAGAAGGAGCGTCGAGACCGCAGAAAAGTAGGTGCCGATTTGGCGTCGTGACAGCAAGCGAAAGCGAGACTGACTCGACAAGGTCGCGGGCAGCTCCTTATCTAATGTGCGTCGGCATCGCCCAAATTCGGCTCAGAATGTTTGAGAATCGAGCGTTTAGGTTGCAAATGAGCAGGCACTTTCCAGAACAAAAAACTGGGGCAAAATGATAAAAGGTACTCCCCTATTAAGAATAAACGCGAATCTTCTAGAATCCTAAGAACGAGCGCTGCTTGCTCGGCCCAGCGCGCGTACTCGCAGAAAAAATTGACAAGTGGACCAGTGCGAGGCGATTACAAAGAAAAACAAGATGGCGGCTTCAGCCACCCAGTGTTGCGAGGTTATTTTTGTTTTTCCGATAATGACCGTTATATAAGACGAGTTTCGACTTTTTCAGGCCCATTTTCAAAAATAAATTCGACCTATATTCCGGTTTATACAGTAGGTTTTTGGACGCCGAGGGTCGGAAGTTCAACTTTCGAGTGAGATCAAGCACATTTTGAAAAAAGTGAAAGCCGTTTACAACTTCCTGTAACGCCGAATTGGAGCGCAGCTCTTGAGGAGGAGGAGTGGAGGGTATATTCCTCCTCCTCCCTCGTGATCGTGCCTGCTAGTCCTCCTCCCCTCCTGCTCCCCCTCCCTCTCCTTTATCACCTCCTCGTCCTTCAAGCTCCTCCCCTCCCCTCGCCTCCGCCTCCTCTTCTCTCCTCCCCCCGTCCTCCACCTTCGTACTGCTTTCCTCCTTGCCGCTCAAGCCGGAAAGGGTCGCGTAAGAGCTGTGCTCTGAAATATAGAGTCAGGACAAATAATTTGGAGGGTTGAAATTTTATTGATTGGGGAAAAACCGTGGTGTATATTGGAAACTGCGTTGCATATCCGGCCAAGGTTTACGCTAATAACGTACAAAGCCAACGTACGCAATTGTTATACCAATGTACCTTAAAGTTTGCTCCGCGAGTTTCCAATTTACGTCCTGGATGAAAACCCCATTATTAATTTAACTAAACCGCCATGATCAGCCGCCGTGGCATGATGTTCAGCAGCCTCTCCAGTGTAGCAGCCAACCAGGACATGAAAAAAAAAAAAAGCATGTAGTTAAGCAGTGGGCAAATCTTCCCAGGGTTTATGCTTGACATCCACGCTTAGACAGTTAGAAGTTAAAATGCTGCCTACCTTTTTTTGTCTGCTGTGCGTAAGCAGCAAAACTTTTCACTTCTGAGCTTACAAGGGTTTCAAGGTGACGTGATCACCAGACTAAAAGTGTGATGGACACTGGAAGATGGGCGCTCGGCCGAGTATAATATAAAAAAGAAAACACTTATAATAAGTGAAACAAGCGTAAAAAAAGACACTTTAGAGAAGCTACAGGCAGGCACACCATCTTAAACTTGATAAGGGACTTACCCCAAACATGGTGTTGTGATTTGTTTAGATCTGACGCAAGATGAACTTCAATACTTGATGATGAAACAGGGTCATGAAAGTCGTCACATGCTTGGAACACACCTATAATAAATGTAGGGAAGCCGGTCTGAACTGTGTTAATGACGTTTACAATGTTTTCGTCGAACGTCTTAACAATGCTGTCGGCCATGTTAAATTCGAATGAAAAATATTCAAGCTCTAGATACTTAGAGTGTGTAGTTCCAGTAGCAAAGGAAGGAACAGGCCCCGAGCTATGACATTCCCTAAGTTCCAAATGTGCTCCAAGCAAGGGGGGGGGGGGGGGCGGGGGCGAGAGGGAACGGAGGGGAGGGTATGCCCCTCCTCCTCATCCGTACTCTCTCGTCGTCCCCTTCTCCTCCTCCTGTGCTCCTCCTCCTCTTTTGAGGTATCTCAATTTTGCGATATACCGCACTGAACTATGTAATATATTGTGGTATTTTTGCTCACCGCTTGTACGGAGAAAGGGAATATACTTGTCAGATCTGGAAGCTCCAATGTGATTTACGATTGATGAGACCACTTGCTTGCACAACACGTATCTGGCATCTCCTCTCCTCCTCCTCCTCAACCTCACCGTCCTCCTCCTCCTCTTCGTCTTGTACGACTTGCACGCTCCAACTGATAACGAAGCTGGTAGATGCTCCTCCGAGTGGCCCGCCTAACACCTCTCAATGTACGCAAGACCGTCGGAGGGAACAATTTCCCAGCTTTCGTTCTTCTCCTCCTCCTTTCTTCCTAGCGTGCAGTCCATATCGTCGCCAAAGTTCGGCGTCCAAAATCCCCACAATATATACAAATATAGAGCAAGCTCCTCCTATACTGGTGCTTTAAATAGCACTCTTATCCCAGTCCTTGATTGTTATGAAGGAAGCCTTGTGATCTGAGAAGTGGCAGGATATGTGTTCCAGGTGATGGACCAAAGGCTGATTTTGAAAGACGAGGTCTATGCACGTGTTTCGAGAGGTCGTCACAGCGGTGTGAGCTGTTACGAGGGAGAGAAATGGGAGGTTTTCCTGCATAAGTGGTATGAAGTTCTTATCCTTCTTTAAGTCTGCATTAAAGTCCCCCACTACTAACATGGGTGTGGACCCACGTGTGCTTAACGCAAGTCGCAGAAAATGCACGATATCTTTGGTGAGTGCTGTAGGCGAGATATACAGAGCCACCACTACCAAGCCGTTGTCGAACTTGGCGCCACAAAGTTCCCCAACATTGCGTAGCACTTAGCAGTGACAGTTTGGAGTTTGTGTGACTGCAGCCGACGAAACTCATCAAGTAGTACCCTGTCGGGATTGGGCTTGCCGTGGTAGAACGTAAAGTCATTGTCCACATTGGTGAGGTAGAGCCCGTTGATGTCTGTAGCACGACTCAGTGCCACGTATACCAATTTCTGTGGATGACTTTTGGCATACGAGTACACCACGTTTTCATACGTGCCTCCCTGTGATTTGTGAATGGTGATAGCACTTGCTTGCACAACGGGTAGCTGGCATCTCCTCAGGGATATCCTTGACTTCTTATCAATGACGCAAGTGACTGTGCGTCTTTCGATAGGTGTCCAATTTTGCTGAATATTTCTGTCGAGTGCCCGTAACTGCCGGGATTTTGCGGCCGCCACGGTTCCAATCGCAATTTTGGAAACAAGCTCACCGAAATGCAGCCAGATGCGTTCCGGCTCTCGGAGCGTATCGTATTGTATGTACTGCAGTATTCCAACAGAGCCATTGACCAGACCATCGGAAACATCGACATTGAGTGTGAGCATATATGGTTTTCCAATGCATAGCATTATATTAGCTGGCAGGTTTCCGAGTTCGGCCTTGGGCAGCGTTTCGGCCTTGCGCATTGCCTCTGTCTTCTCCTGCATAGACCTGAATCCAACGATTGTGTCCCGTGCCGGACATGCCACACAATTATCTTCGGTTGCAATGGCCGTGTTCGTATTGTAGTAGTCCGATTCCTTGTTGGAGTAGTACAAGCGGATGCCACCGGGACAACACGTTTCTGCTTGTTGTTGCGTGACGAACCGACTCTGGATCAATGCGATTTCTTAGGAATCCAATTCTGCACCGTCTCCAATTTTGGTAAGTATGGTGGAAAACCTGAGATCGCTTTGCCTTACGACCTTCGTGAGGACAAAGTATGACAAATGGTGCCATGCGATTTCCGTGTTAAACACACTGTTCGTCTTGACGCGCTTGAAAACCTCGGCGGCACGAACGGGGGGAAGCTGGCGCAGGTCTCCGCAGAGGATGATGTCTAACCCGCCGAAAGGCTCTAGATATTTGCAAGTGATGATGCGGAGTCGCGAGTCCACTTTCTGAAGGATGTCGGCGGACATCATGCTAACCTCATCGATAATCACGCACCTGACGTTCCTGAACGCATAGCGGAACGTGTTCAACTCGTTGTCCCGGAGTCCGCCATCCCTATTGATGGTAAGTCTGAACGCTGCATGTACAGTTATTCCACCAAGCGCGACCGCCGCTTTTCCAGTTGTAGCACAGGCAACATAGGCGTTTACATTATCTGAACCAGCAGGGTTGCAATATCTGTTGTAGACGTCCATGATGAGACGCAGTACAAATGTCTTCCCACATCCAGCCACTCCCGTGAAGAAGATTTGTAGTGGCGGAGAGTCCGGTATAGTGAGTCTATGCACGACTTCTCGGACGATCTCGTACTGCTCCTCATTCGTTTTGCGCATTGTGTCCAGGTACTGATCTCTGCTCATGACGTCTTGGCGCGTGCACACGGCGGGGCACTGCTTAAACGGGGCATTGGATTGGACCATACCGATGTCTAGGAGATCGGAGTCGTCGTTTTCCATGGCCATCGGGTGCAGTCTCACATCTGGGAGGTCAGAAGTGGCACAATGTTCCCCGTCATTTGACTGGAGCATGGAATTACAAACGGCACGAATTTGCTCAATGTCTACGTCACTGTGGTACCGTGCCTTGTTCTCTAGAATGACGTCGATGTTTTGCTCATACAGACGCTCGAAACAGTTTTGGTCTAAGATGTCAACTTCTTTGCGGAATGGATAGAAAAGCAGGACATGTTCTCGCTTGAAGTTGACTGAATCGTCTACGGAGTAACCGCGGTAGCGAAGTATCCGTCGCTGATTCCTCTTTTTGTAGGTATATATGTTGTACTCGGTAGCGAACTCTGCTAGAGTAACAGGTTCCAATTCGGGAATGCGGTCTTCGTAGCGCTCGATCATCGTCCGTTTCCATACATCAGTGCTTGATTCTACTAAGCCTTCCTGCGCCATCTGAGCGTTAGACTTCCGAATGCGCGTCCTTTCCTCGGGCCATGCAGAGTTCACGAAGACAACTTTGCGACTCGCCTCCGACATATCCTGGTTGAGCAAACACCATGCGGCCTCCTGTGCGGACAGTTCAATGGCATTCAACATTTTCACACCTAGGTGTCTCAGTGCCTGAGAATAGGCCATATCCCCCTTCTCCTTGACAATTTCTTGCACTGCTCGATTGAGGTTCAACATACCTCGGTTGGCCTTGTTTACATATTCCACCACGTAGGCAGCACACGCGTACGTGTCGAGGACGATCTGAAGATCCATGTTAGAATCGAGAATTGATGCAACCCATGGGTTAAAGTAATTCACCCACTTTTGATGCACGGTACGGGGTAGCATGATGGTGGCACGAGGAGTGCCTGCTCGGAGAACAGAAATGTACTCCGCCTTGTCCGCGACACCGTGATGTTCCCAAAACTGCTCCATGGAGTCATAATTTGTCGTTTCCAGGGCCTGATGCATGGCCTCGTACTTGTTTAGGAGGCTCTCGATTTTCTTCTTCTGCGCTTCATTGTCCACAGTGGGGAAAGGCACTACGACCATACATTCATCGATGGGCATTAAAGGCGCGTTAAAGCGGCATCTGGTGGTGTTGTGCTTGTAGCAGGTATGCGTGTGTTGGTGCACCTGAGTCCGCTCCCGCTTCAAGCATCCGTTGTCGATGGAAAGCAGAACGTTGGCTATTTCAAGAGTCTGGGGCATGAGCATCGAGAGCTCCTCGTTGGGCGCGTTATGAAGCCAAAGGAGAATGTGCGCGTGTGCCGACCCGCGGTGCTGAAATTCGATCCGCTTAAAGTAGTCGACGACTATGTACGGCCTAAAAGGCGATACACGGGTGTTGCGGAGAATGTTGAGAATGACACGCACCAATCGGTCGAAATATATGGCACAGACCACGGGATCGTCATTTACTAGCTGTGCTCGATAAATGCTGTTCATTTGCTCCAGTGGTACTTCGATCTCGCCGGGCTTCAACCGAAGGCGTTGAAGCAACTGCAAAAGGTCGGGCCAGTGCATTTCCGAGGCAGAAAGAGTGAGGAACGCGGTCGGCTTACCCAACTGCCGTATCATAGCAAAGAGGTCTTTCTTGCGTTTTGTCCAGTACTGCACGGTGTTGGGAATACCATGCATGAAAGCCATGTCGTGCTCGACCGCTTGCTGCACAAAATCCTTGTCGAGCAACTGTTGCTTCGTTAGTGTTTCCAGTGCCTTTATGTTACGGAAGGCCACACACATGTCACCGGCTACTCGGTGCCTAAACACTTTCATGGCCATGTACAGCACGTGCTGCGGGGTGGCCCCTCGACGGTCTGATCTGCGGATCTCACTCATGGCGTGTGTGAAGACTGTCGGTTTTGCGCTGGCATCTACTCGGCGCGGCTCACCGAGATCGATCTGTGGGAACGAAAGCTCCTCTGAGTGTTCGTCATAAAGTATGCTCACGGGCCTTTTTCCCTCACCTGGCGCAATCGCTAGAAACTTGTCTTCGTCCCATACGAGAGTGTGCTGAGCCAGAGTCATGGCTGTAGCCACTTGGATCGGATCGTTGAGGTCTGAGCATTGCGGGAGCAACTCGATCTCGTCGTGTTCGTCCACTTCTACGATATCCCCCAAACGGGCAAAATCGCACTTTATATTATAATGCTTGTACAGCGTGCTATCACACAGCAGCTTAAGCCACGGCAGCAGATCACATTTTTTTACTGCCCCTGCCAGGTAGGTCGTCTTCACAAGCATGCGCCGCTTCAAATGTACATTGAGGGCTCGGTCTTGTTCGATGGCACGAGGCAACATTGTCACCATGTCGTCCACATCAACACAGACGTTCACTACTGGTCCCTTAATGCCGTGTTGACCTGCACCGTGCATCAGCCGTCGCAGTTGCATGAAAGGAATTCGTGGAGATATGAGTCTCTCACTCACCGCGTTCAATTGTGGGAGGTGGGCTGGCTTCGGGGGATATACATAACCGTTACTTGAGGAAAGATGAGGAATATGACCCTTGTGCACTGATTGTATGCAGGTCGAGCACAGTTTGAATTGGGTTAGGTCCGAGTTTGGAAATGATTGCTCTAGGGTCTCGTGACATCTGTCCGGTAGCGGTTGCAAGTCGTTTTGGAACCAGAGCCGATCACAGACTGAACATACGCTCCCAAACGGGTTGTCTCTAAACAGCCGTTGGAAAATTTTTGTTGCACCGTCAGGCTTAGCGATCCTTGCCTTTTGCTTGGCTTCCGCTTAGGCGGCGCTCACTCCTGGCTGCTCTCGGCGGCGGCGATGAGCCTCTGCTTCGGCGTCGCGCACTTCCGGGTCCTCTCGATAGCGGCTTCTGGCTTCCGCTTCGGCGGCGCTCACTCCTGGCTGCTCTCGGCGGCGGCGATGAGCCTCGGCCTCGGCGTCGCGCACTTCCGGGTCCTCTCGACGGCGGCGCTTAGATTGAGCTTCAGCAGCGCTCACTTCTGGCTGCTCTCGGCGGCGGCGATGAGCCTCTGCCTCGGCGTCGCGCACTTCCGGGTCCTCTCGATAGCGGCTTCTGGCTTCCGCTTCGGCGGCGCTCACTCCTGGCTGCTCTCGGCGGCGGCGATGAGCCTCTGCCTCGGCTTCGCGCACTTCCGGGTCCTCTCGACGGCGGCGCTTAGATTCAGCTTCAGCAGCGCTTACTTCTGGGTGCTCTCGGCGACGGCGATGAGCTTCTGCTTCGGCGTCGCGCACTTCCGGGTCCTCTCGATAGCGGCTTCTGGCTTCCGCTTCGGCGGCGCTCACTCCTGGCTGCTCTCGACGGCGGCGATGAGCTTCTGCTTCGGCGTCGCGCACTTCCGGGTCCTCTCGATAGCGGCTTCTGGCTTCCGCTTCGGCGGCGCTCACTCCTGGCTGCTCTCGACGGCGGCGATGAGCTTCTGCTTCGGCGTCGCGCACTTCAGGGTCCTCTCGACGGCGGCGCTTAGATTGAGCTTCAGCAGCGCTCACTTCTGGCTGCTCTCGGCGGCGGCGATGAGCCTCTGCCTCGGCGTCGCGCACCTCCGGGTGGTCTCGACGGTGGCGCTTAGATTCAGCTTCAGCAGCGCTTACTTCTGGCTGCTCTCGACGGCGGCGATGAGCTTCTGCTTCGGCGTCGCGCACTTCAGGGTCCTCTCGACGGCGGCGCTTAGATTGAGCTTCAGCAGCGCTCACTTCTGGCTGCTCTCGGCGGCGGCGATGAGCCTCTGCCTCGGCGTCGCGCACTTCCGGGTCTTGTCGACGGCGCCGTTTAGCTTCAGCTTCGGCGGCACGCACTGCAGGATCTTGGCGCCGGCGGCGCTGAGCCTCTGCTCGGGCAGTGCGTTTAGCAGCAGCTGCTTCATCTGACTCGCTCATTTTGTGAAAAAAGAACTGCCTGATTACGTCTCGTCGTCGTCGTCTTTGTGATATCACTCATGCTGGATCACGGCGCCGGCGGTGCTGACCCTCTGCTCGTGCAGCACGTTTAGCAGCAGCTGCTAAAGCCCCTCCATCCTGACAAAAGTGGCTGCATTGATTGTTGTGGAAATGCTCGAGACACGTGCCGTGCACCAATTCTGGGAAGAACATGGCCAGTGTAACATGGCATCTGAAATCTAGTTTGAATGTGCACTGTGCCGCCATGATCTTTCCAAAGTCTGCACGTTGCACGTGCCTTGTGCATCGACGCACCGTGCGCTACTTTTAAGAAATGAACGCACTTTAGCAGCTTTTAGCTTCTCTTTGTTCTATTATTTTTCTGCTGCAGGGTTTTTCAACCGTGCAGCAGGAAAGCCGAAGCCGGCCGAGGGATAAGAGATAAGAGTGTTTTAAAATAATTTTTCTGAGAAATGAAAATTCGGATTTGTCCGCCCTGCTCATCCTCCCTGCTCCCCTGCGTTCTCCTCTTCCCCTCGCGGGGGCCACGTGATCTCGGGGGGGGGGGGGAGGGGAGGGGGTAGTCACGTGACCCTCCCGAGGCCACGTGACCCCCCGCTGAAGTCAGGTGACCCCCTCCCCCCGAGGTCACGTGACCCCCCCCCCGAACCATACTAGACAATGAGGGGAGGAGGAGGAGGGGGAGGAGGAGGAGGGGGAGGAGGAGGAGGGCAGAGGTCCGGGGGGTCACGTGACCTCGAGGGGACGGGATCACGACCTTGGGCGGGCCGTCACGTGACTTCGGCGGGGGGAGGGGAGTCACCCCCCGGGGTCACGTGACCTTGGCGGGGGGAGGGGGGAGGAGGAGGAGCGGAGGGGGAGGAGGAGGAGGGGCGACGCCGACCCTCCCGAGGCCACGTGACCCCCCGCTGAAGTCAGGTGACCCCCTCCCCCCGAGGTCACGTGACCCCCCCGAACCATACTAGACAATGAGGGGAGGAGGAGGAGGGGGAGGAGGAGGAGGGGGAGGAGGAGGAGGGCAGAGGTCCGGGGGGTCACGTGACCTCGAGGGGACGGGATCACATGACCTTGGGCGGGCCGTCACGTGACTTCGGCGGGAGGAGGGGAGTCACCCCCCGGGGTCACGTGACCTTGGCGGGGGGAGGGGGGAGGAGGAGGAGTGGAGGGGGAGGAGGAGGAGGGGCGACGCCGACGCCGACGCCAACGCCGACGCCGCACAGGCTGGAAACGGGTCATGTGACCCCCTCCCGCCGAGGTCACGTGACCCACCCGGACCATACTACACAATGAGGGGAGGAGGAGAAGGAGGGGGAGGAAGAGGAGGAGGAGGGGAGGAGGAGGGGGAGGAGGAGGAGAGGGAGGGGCGCGGTTACGCCGACGCCGACGCCGACGGCGACGCCAACGGCGACGCCGCTCAGGCTGGAAACGGGCCCCTAAGAACTGCGCTCTAAAACAACGCAACCGCGGCCTCGTCAGCGTCGTGTGTGAATGTTGCTTTATGATTGTTGGTGCTCTCATACTGTACAAATGTTTATTCGCGGTTTGACAGAAAACTGAATGTGAAAGTGTCCATATTTGTGTGTCTGCAAGGATGACTACGGAAGCGTGGATTCTACAGCGAATCGATGGAAAGATCTTGCTCCTTGACGGCATGGCAGGGGGAGAACTTTTGAATTTTTATCATCGTGGTTTCGTTCTTTGTATTTTCTTTTCGCCGAATGTATACTTGGGTGTGGTTTGGTTGTGACGTGGAAGCAACATATTCAAATGCTGGCGCTACTTGTAGGTGCAGAACTAAATAAAAATGACTTGATTTATGAGTTAAGGTCGGAATGTCTTCGCAAGGCATGCAAGTTATAGGTTTTCACGGTTTCAACCAGCACATCAAACAAAAACAACAACAACAAGAACAAGTACACTGTGTCGCTTCTGCGTATCCTCATCGAAGCTCAGAAATGATCCGCTACAACTGGCTAGTAAGACCTATATTTTAGCGGGTCTTTGAGCTGTAGTTTGGAGTGCACGCAAGCCGGAATATGGTTCATTGACCAGTTTACTTATCCATACACTAGAGACATATTCTAACAATTTAGCTGGAGCCACTTCAGGCTCTCCAAAGAACCCCACCACACACCAGGAAGCTCTATGGAGCATAATATTAGAATTATTAAATATTATCATTCTTATTATTTTCTGTACCTGGTTTTATGTGCTTGTGCAATAAGCATTTTTATTATTATTATTATTATTATAGCGCATTCGGCACATCAAATTCAAGAATGATTTTGATGTTTGTGATCCAAAATACCAAATCGAAACACTGCAAGTGTTTTCTCTCAAATGCGGAACCACTTGAGCTGCACTTTAAAGAAGAGCATTATTTTTCTCTTTTTTTTTGCATTTTTATAACAATTTTCGATTACATTACCTTTCTTTGGATTAATATGATTTCCTCCTTTTTTGTTTTATTTCCTGCAGAAGCGGTCAAATACACATCCCGGATACTGCTTTGATGAACTGGGGCTACTGTACGGCCTCCATGGGGCAAGCTTAAAACTGACAGCTTGGAAGAGTGCTTCGGAATGTATAGACAACTGGCTTGCTTCTAATATCACGTGTCTACAAGGCTCATTTACGAAGATGAAAACAAAATACTGCTGAGGAGCACGCTGTCAACGATCACTACAGCTAGCAAGGATGGAAACTACAATGATCTTCCTAAGCGAGCAGATACTTGGCGCCCTACCTGCAACGTGGTATACCTGCAATGTGACCCTGGGCTGTAAAAAATTAGACACAGCCTCCCGGCCCTGGGCTAAGTGGCCAGCGCTGCACTCTACACCACCTTGAAAAACCTACGGCGCCAAAAATTGAAGGCCGCATCGACAGCACGAAACAAGTTGGCTACAGTTTCTCGCACCGGAAGACTGTGCTCTCACAATGAAACTCGTTATAGAAGGGCTTGCGTTTTCCTGGTGTAAATGCTGTAGAACAGAACTATGTTGTTCACCAATTGGTGATGCCCAGCCAGTTCCGACTTGTTACATATCTCATAATGAAACTACTCGCCAAAAAAAAAGACTTCCGACTTCAACGTTTGTGAATATTAACATACGAGTCAGCTCATTTTAAAACACGTGTAGCACAAGAAAATGCACAAGCATTTTCTTTTGACATGTTTGCAGCAAGATGAATGTTCGCATTAATGCTAAGAATGCTAAAAAAAAAGAAATGTAAAGCTGAAACTCTGCAATCAAAGACACTCGCTGCCAACCATCAGGGATGTCAGGAAGCGAGCTCAGACCAAGCAAGAGTATGTCTGACACCTGTGATGATGAACCCAATGTGAGTTCGAGCTGAAGCATGTGTTAGACTGCAGTGAAAACATTCAACTGAGAAACCTTTGTTGCAAGATGACAACAATATCATAAGTGTCAGCGCAACAGCTACAAAAAAAAGCTAATGGGTCAGGGCTAAACAAATCATTCCCTGTACGGCCAGCAACATGCTTGCGCTTCATCCTCATGCAAAGGCCACTGTTGTCTGAAAACGGTCAATCTGTGTGTGTGTGTGCAGATATTCGGTGTCCTTGTGGCAGTATTTTGGTTATCTTGTGGTGCTACAGCGTAGCGTAAATGCCAACATGCTGCACAGATATTGTGTGTCTCGGTGTCACAAAATCTACAGCATCTAAGATGCATGTGTATAAATGTTTTTTCAAGACGAATATTTTCAGAACTTATGGATACCAGGAGGCTCGTTTCGCAGTGTTCAAAGATGACCAATTTGTTATTTACGTCTTTTTTCTGTAATGTAAATGCAAGCAACTTTGAATATGAAGCTTCCATGCCCAATTTTGTTTGTGTACAAATCTTGTTTTTAGCCGCCCTATCTGTGTCGCTTCACAGACTCGGTACCGTCGGAGTACATCAGCGTATAGGGCAGCGCCCGGGTATTACGGTAATTTTTTGCAAGTATAAAGTTTTAACATTATGACATTGCCAAAAAATAGGTCACAGGTGATTTTTTGATGTAGTAACCAGATAGGTTGCTTGCTGCAAAACAAGTACCATATTTGAACAGACAGAGTTCATTGAATTGCTGAACATATACAGGTTTATCGCAGGTCTAAGAAAAATTTGTCAAAATCTGTGCAATACATTTTTCCAACCAGCAGATCACAATTTTAGAATGTTATTACTTTTGTACTTGTCTGGCAATTTGGGTCCCGTTGCTGTTGCATCAGGTGTCCTTAAGAGTAGTGTACTCGGGCATCTATTGTTTCTAATATATGTCAATGACCTACCATCATCAATTAAGTCGACAATTAGGCTCTTCGCTGATGCTTGAGTTATTTACCCGAAAATTATAACCTATAGTGATCACAATATTGTCTAAGATGATTTAGTTAGAATACCATCATGGTGTTCCCTATGGCAGATGAGCATTAACACATGTAAATGCAAAGAAATGTCCGTAATTAAATCCTCCACTAAAACACTAACCCAGTACTCGTTACTTTCACAACCACTAGAACACTCATTGTCGTACAAGTATTTTGGGCGTGTATTTTACATATTCATCATGGATTGAGAAATAACAAATAGCGCACTAAAACACTTGGTTTGTGAAAAAGCCATTTGTATGAGAAATTTCTTGTGTTCAATAAACACATGAATCATAAGATATATAATAACCCTAGAAGACATATATGATAACTATATAATATAAATAAGAACCATATAAGCAACTTTTTACGAGTATCTTCTGTGTTCTTATATACATCATATAGTTCTTATATGGTTCTTATAGGGCTCTTATGTGTTCTTATATGATTCATATGTGTTTATTTGACACAGAAATGTCTCATAAAAAGGAGATTTTTCACTAGGGATCCAGCTCCCATTAAGACAAAACTACTCGCATACAAAATATTCATCCTCCCAACATTACAATATGCAAGCATAATTTGGAATCCACACCTAAGTTACCTAATCTCGAGGCTCGAACCTTCAGAACAAAGCAGCCAGATTTATATTCAGTGATCATTTATCCGAAACTAGTGTCTCCGCCTTAATAGCTAGCATAAATCTTCCTAATCTAGAAAGAAGACGAAAAATAGCCCGATTGTGTTGTTTTCAAGATGTATATTACTCAGATTCC